GCCCTATATATAGAATGTTACAGTTTTTTAAGCGCTGCACATCAGCTGTCTATTTTATTACACAACAAGCACCCGTTGTTAACTGAGAACACTTAAATGTACATTCTCAAATGTTTGAATCATCCTAAATTCATGGCAAACATTTTAACATTTCATGCACAGTAACCACGTGAGACGACATTAAGTCTGCATTGAACATGATTCTTGTCATTCCTGAACAGGGAGGAGCAAACCTGCAATTATTAACTCACGTCTCTATGAAATATGTGTAACAGTTAATATACAAACCACACCTGCTTCAAAGTTCGTTACTCTTTCTAAAATTGGTAATATCTCCTTCTATTTTGGGCGCGTGGAGGGAACGAAGAGAATCAAATATATCGCAGCCATTTTCAATGAGCCATGGGATATTGTGCCCCTCATATAACAAGCAACGCTTATTGCTTTAGGTCACTTTGTGAATAAGCAGCTGTCATGCAAATTAACTAGAACAGCTAGATCTGATCGATTTGGCGACCATAAACCCGCGAGTGAGTCTGACGGACCGTTGAGCGGAGCAAAATACATTAGAGTTAGACCTAACACACTTAGCTAGTTTATCTACTCTGCGAACTAGCTAAACTAGCCTATACATACCGTTTACTTGCTTTAACTGTCGGGTCCACTAGTACTTATTCAGAGAGCTGCACGAACTGACGGGCTGTCAGGAGAGGAAAAGTAGAGCACCGACGACCCACCAGAGACCCGTTTACTTTTCCATTTTATTATCCAGCAATTAACTGTAAACTTTTGGAATAAATAAGTTCATCGACTACTGATTAGTACCGTAATTCTTCGGACTATAAGAGGCGGCACCTGAATATAGCCGCAGCAGCGCATATCCACTCTCTTGTTCCACTTTACTGTTTTGCCGGCTACTGTCTCAACTCTTTCCGGACTCCAGCTTTTCCTGCTGGAACCCGCCGCTTAAAGGTGGGGGTCCGCGGACCGGCCATAGAGCCCCATAGAGTTAACAGGGTGGTGGCCGTCTTAGCTGTACAAAAATCCATAGATTAGCCGCACCGTTATATAAACGCGGCGTCGAAAAATAGGGAAAAAGGGCGGTTTTATAGTCCGCGAAAATTTACGGGTAGGTTTGTTTACAATGCATTACTTATGTGTGTTTTGTCATTAACGTTAAAATGAGAATCATCGCGTACCCCCTGCAGTACTCCAACCGTACCCCTTAGGGGTCGCTGTACCTCCATTTGAGAACCACTGCCCTAAAAAAGAACGAATCAAATAGCTTGTCCTAAATATATCATTTAAAAATCATGTCTGACAGAAAAGCCTGACAACATTAGCAACGGAGCTTGAACAGAAGGGCACGTTGTCCTGAGTCTGTGGGGGAAATGAAAACCATCTGACAAGGGAAAACAGAAAGGCTGTTCTGATGTGTGTGGAACCAACAAAGGAGGAGTGTTGTGTCTGTGATTCCTGGCGACGTCTTCCATACTAACTCCTTTCCCTCTGATGTTTCCTCCTCCTCCTGCCTTCCACTCCTCTCCTCCTCCTCTTCCCTCTCAATCCTCCTTCTCGTGCCTGACAGACCATTCGACCTCGCAGCAGGATTGAATACCACATGAATGCACCTGGTGTGTGCCTCCTCACACCCCCCCGCCTCGCCCTCCCCCGCAGCCCCGCACGCCACTACTGCTCCTGACGTCCAGCTCGAGTGCACCTCTGCCTCCTGACTCCGTCTGTGCACTCTCTCTCTCTCTCTCACACACCCACACACACACACACACACACACACACACACACACACACACACACACACACACACAACACACACACAGAACCATAATCAGAATACCTTTATTCCATCCCACCGAGGGCGAAATACGATCAACAGACACAACACACCACACCACATATATATGCAAAGAACCATAATCGGAATATCCCACCGAAGGGAAGAATAGAGAACAAACCACAACACACACACAACACACACACACACACAACACCACACACATATACTATACACATAAGTATACTATGCAAAGATACCTATAATACAGAATATACCCTACTGATGCAAAGAACCATAATCAGGAATATCCCACGAGGGGAATAGAACACGCACACCCACACACACACACACACCACACACACACAACACACACACAACACACACACACACACACTGCTCTGTATTTACCTATTGTTATAGGCTCAAACAATGTGTGTGTGACAGTCGAGCGGCTGTTAGCAGTGTTGTTTTTATCCTTAGAGCAAACATCCATGAAGCTGCTGAACCGCGTGTTGATTGGATGCTCTGTGGTTGTGTTGGCACAGATCGAACTCAGATAAACCCGTACTTCAAAATCCTGTGGTGTTTTAAACCTCAAGAAATCGCTCAAAACGTCCACTTTTTTTCCCCTCAACTCGTTTTTTATGATTTGTCATTTATACTAGCAGAGAACAAGAGCAGATGTATAGATACAAAGAATCGTACGTACAGTCGATAGCATACATTTATGTACTAGCAATTAATAATGATACGTACCAATTACGGTACATTTTAATATGCACATACACATACATCCCACCCAAATCAATAAAACTAATCACAATTTCATTAGATACAAATAAGGGAACAGTGGGGCTTTATGCAGTCGAGACCGGCACAGGGGGGTTTTGTTTAAAAGAATCCAGAAAAGGCATCCATCATTACGATATCGTCAGCTCTTCTAATATTGTAAGTGGGTGTCATTACGTCCCTCATCCAACGGGCGCGTGATGGTGGATTCCTGTCTTTTCACTTGAGAAGAATTAGACGGGGAGCAAAACTTGGCCTTTAAAAAAACAAACAGGTTTTGACTATAAGAGAGGTTTTTTAACGGTAAATGGACTGTACTTTTATAGCGCTTTATCAGGTCTGTCCGGCCCCTCGTGAAGTGCTTTAAATGCTACGAGTCATTCACACCTCATTCATGCAGAGCAGCACCACTTGCTCTAGGGAAGCTAATGGCGCATTTCCACTACAGCGCGGTTTAAGCGAGTATGCTAAACTAGTGAGAGAATTGCTGGCAACTACAACAAAATGAACATATTTTACCGTGATTTAATTGTAATATGGGAGGCATGTGGCGTAGTGGACTAGTGCGTTGGTATCAGGGGAGCACAGGTTCAAACCCCACTGCAGTCAGCATGTCGTTGTGTCCCTGAGACACTTCACCCCAAATTGCTCCTGTGGGGATTGCCCACAGTATTGAGTATGTAAGTCGCTTTGGATAAAAGCGTCTAACAAGTAACATGTAATAATTTAGGGTTAAATAAATAAATGATTTTTGTTTCTGCCGACGTTAGATATAATACAAAATATAAATGATCTGAGAGTAAATGCATTTATTGGAATGAGTTGAACAGCTAATTTTAAATACCTGAGTCGAGAGAATATGCACTTCAGACACATTGTTGTTAGTGATTATCTGAAATCAAAAGACAATTACATAGAAGAAGCGATCAATACACTGCCGTCCTCCACCAATCATCTGCTCAGTCAGTCAGTATTTTCTGCAGACAGTGTTTTATGGTTAATGACTGAATGCTAATGAAGAGTTGCGGCAGAGTAAAGTTCATGGGACTGAAATCAATCCTCCTGCTGGGAAAACGCATTGAATATCCAGTTGATTTATGAATAATGACTCAGAGGATCCTGCTTGTTTCACAATATAAATGCATGATGACGATGGGGTAAAGGTCACAAGGTTGAGAACATCAATATGTCCTTTTCTCATGTAGTTATTAATACAGAAGACAAAGAGGTCATTCTATTTCTTCAGCTCTCAGTGGAGGTTATTATGAGCCAAGAATCAGGGTCAAAGGCTCATGTTTAATGGGTATTTTATCACATAATTGCAGTAATAAACATGTTAAGTAAGCCTGTGTTTTGACCACCATGACTCTAGTTATATCACCAAAGTATTACTAGTTTATACTAAGGTGAATATGAATATCTGAGCTATATTTTAAGGCAATCTTTCCAATCGTTTTTGAGACATTTCACAAAAAATTCACAAAAATGTGCCTTGTTATTATTTATAACTTGTTGTAATAATGTTAGGGTTTAAATACCAAAGTATTTAATAGAGGGTTGGCTGTTTAAAAGGTTCTGGATGCAACATTTTCATTTTGAGATCAAAATCATTCTGACTTCCATTGTCAAAACAAATAAGTAGATGCATGAAGTGCAACAAAAAGCCGAATATATTTTCCTCCTAAATGTATTCCAGTAGAAGTCATACTTGCATAAAATGTAGATACTCAAGTATAGTAACACTACTTTAAACGTGTACTTCTTCTTCTTCTTTGCTTTAATGGCGAGTCGCAACCAACGTGTACTTAGATCGTCAACAGTATTTTAGTACACGTACTTATTTACATAACCACGACTGCTGCCATGGATTCACTGTATTTCAAGTATCCATCCGCGCAGGCTGCGAAAAGGTCATTTTTCAGCCTCACCTTCGTCTAAAAAACCGATTAATCACACGGATAAAACATGTATTGTTTCTCCATGTCGAATATTTGTGTTTAATTCAAGAAAAAGGTTAAACGGTGTATCGTCTCTAAATAACATGTTATAGTTCCACCGAAGGAGGCAGCGGAAGGACACCACACTGTTTTGTATAAATACTGCTGCGCTGCTCTTTGTTCCTCAGACCCGAAAGCAGCCGGAGCAGATCGTTCACAGCTGGAGAAACACTTGCTTGTAAGTATTTAAAGCCGTTTAGTGTATATGTACCGTGTCTAAGCCCATATTTTACCAATGTATATCGTTGTGTTACTAAGTATTAATGATGTAGCCATCTATATAGCGATTTAAATCGAATAAATGACGAACGGCTGTTTTTTAGCTAATGAAGCTAGCTGGGGCCTAAAAGGAAAAATGAAAACGTCGCTGGGCGGCAGGAAATTAATCTAAATCCTGCCTTTTATTCAGTCTGGTAAATCAGTAACAGTAACATCTATAACGTATTAAAGGCGAGATATATCTCCGGCCACAATAACTATACAAAAAAAGACATTTAATGCCGCATCCGGTTACCGTAGCAACATTAGCTTATATTGGCATAGCCGTTAGCTTACCTGTTAGCCCAATCGACTTTAAGTTGAATCACTCGACGTTAGCTTATTAGCTTAGCCATTAGCCCAGCCATTAGCCCAAACGTCTGTCTAGCTAAATGACTCATCCTTAGCTGTTAGCTTAGCTATTAGCCTGAACGTCTGGTTAGTTGAATGACTCAACGTTAGCTTTTTAGCTTAGCCGTTAGCTGAATTACTCGACGTCATTCTGTTAAAGCTTTTTTTTTTATTTTTTTTTTTTTTATTTATATATAAAACTAGGTTTCAAACTCGGGTCTTTTGTATTTTAATTAATGGGGTAGTGTGTGTTCTATTTTCATAAAATGCTACCACAGTTCTAAAAGAGGAACTTATTTAAAAGCCGTTTGGATTAGCTGTAAAATGCCTCGTCACTCAGCTGAAAATGGGGTGTTTTTACTTTCGAGCTCAGGGAATTTTTTTTTTACTTACAATTGATGCCACAAAGGAATACTCTTAAATTATGACACTGCATAGTGTTTATGATTACATAGATGGATTATTTACCCCAAAGCAACATTTTGACAAGAATTACGAAATATATATATATTTTTTTAAAGAAATGGACATTTTAAAAATAATCTGAACGAAATACCTGTATTTAGAGGAATATCTAAACATTATAAAATAGACAGAATATAATAGTCTAACATACCAATCTCCCGTTAATATACATAAAAAATTCTGTACAGTAGTTTGAAATAAAAAACCAACAAAGCAGTATTACAATTTTACTAAAGAATAATTAATACTGAAGAGGAACATTTTACTAGACAATCAATACTTCTGCTCAAAGTACTTATTTTTAATTACGTTTTTAAATGCAGAACTTTGCTTGTTGAACATTTTTGTGATAACTAGTCTTAGGAGTACATTCTGAATTAATCATGTTTTTCTTCTCTCTTCAGTGTCAAAATGCAGATCTTTGTCAAAACCCTCACTGGAAAGACCATCACCTTGGAGGTGGAGGCAAGTGACACCATTGAAAATGTCAAGGCCAAGATCCAGGACAAAGAAGGTATCCCTCCAGATCAGCAGAGGTTGATCTTTGCCGGAAAACAATTGGAAGATGGCCGAACCCTGTCCGACTACAACATCCAGAAGGAGTCCACCCTCCATCTTGTGCTGCGTCTGAGGGGAGGCATGCAGATCTTCGTGAAGACCTTGACTGGAAAGACCATCACTCTGGAAGTTGAGCCCAGTGACAGCATTGAGAACGTGAAGGCCAAGATCCAGGATAAGGAGGGAATCCCCCCAGATCAGCAGAGGTTGATCTTTGCTGGCAAGCAGCTGGAAGATGGCCGCACCCTGTCCGACTACAACATCCAAAAAGAGTCCACCCTCCATCTTGTGCTCCGTCTTAGGGGAGGCATGCAGATCTTCGTCAAGACCCTCACTGGAAAGACCATCACTCTGGAGGTTGAGCCCAGTGATAGCATAGAGAACGTGAAGGCCAAGATCCAGGATAAGGAGGGAATCCCCCCAGATCAGCAGCGTCTGATCTTCGCCGGCAAGCAGCTGGAAGATGGCCGCACCCTGTCCGACTACAACATCCAGAAGGAGTCCACCCTTCACTTGGTCCTGCGTCTCCGTGGAGGCATGCAGATCTTCGTGAAGACCCTCACTGGAAAGACCATCACTCTGGAGGTTGAGCCAAGTGACAGCATTGAGAACGTGAAGGCCAAGATCCAGGATAAGGAGGGAATCCCCCCAGATCAGCAGAGGTTGATCTTTGCTGGCAAGCAGCTGGAAGATGGCCGCACCCTGTCCGACTACAACATCCAAAAAGAGTCCACCCTCCATCTTGTGCTCCGTCTTAGGGGAGGCATGCAGATCTTCGTCAAGACCCTCACTGGAAAGACCATCACCCTTGAAGTCGAGCCCAGTGACAGCATTGAGAACGTGAAGGCCAAGATCCAGGACAAAGAAGGCATCCCCCCAGATCAGCAGCGTCTGATCTTCGCTGGCAAGCAGCTGGAAGATGGCCGCACTCTCTCCGACTACAACATCCAGAAGGAGTCCACCCTCCATCTTGTGCTCCGTCTGAGGGGAGGCATGCAGATCTTCGTGAAGACCCTCACTGGAAAGACCATCACCCTGGAGGTAGAGCCCAGTGATAGCATAGAGAACGTGAAGGCCAAGATCCAGGACAAGGAGGGAATCCCCCCAGATCAGCAGAGGTTGATCTTTGCTGGCAAGCAGCTGGAAGATGGCCGCACCCTGTCCGACTACAACATCCAGAAGGAGTCCACCCTTCACTCTGGTCCTGCGTCTCCGTGGAGGCATGCAGATCTTCGTGAAGACCCTCACTGGAAAGACCATCACTCTGGAGGTTGAGCCCAGTGATAGCATAGAGAACGTGAAGGCCAAGATCCAGGACAAGGAGGGAATCCCCCCAGATCAGCAGAGGTTGATCTTTGCTGGCAAGCAGCTGGAAGATGGCCGCACCCTGTCCGACTACAACATCCAGAAGGAGTCCACCCTTCACTTGGTCCTGCGTCTCCGTGGAGGCATGCAGATCTTCGTGAAGACCCTCAC